TCTAACGTTTGGATCTTCTTCCGTCGTCAAGGCCCCTTCTTCCACTTCAGTGATCACATTTAATCTCCAAACTCCTCCACCCAACCATTTTTCTGCCAAAACTTCCCCCCGTCCTGCAAACTTATACACACGAAGGTATTCATCATAGCACCCTGTTAGCAGCACTGTCTCCCCAGCATCGCTAAATAACGGTAAGATCACCGTGATCCCTGCCCCATGATGCTTCCCTCGATCACTGATCTCCCTCGTCTGAATTAGGAATTGACCATTAACCAACAACTTTTGGCCCTCGTCATTCCCGTCTCCATTCACACCCCCATCACCTGCAAATTCATGCACACGCAAACTACCAAAGTCATCCCCAGAAAATAGCATTAGGAATCTTTTCCCGGATGATGACCTACCACGATGGAACGTGGTGTACCAAACCTCTATAGGCTCCCCTGGTAAATCTATCTTCTTCATTAATTCTTTGGAAAAGATGTGGAAGGGGGGTTGAGTATGAAAGATGGAGACTCGGCCATCTGAGAAGGAGACGGCGAAGCCATCTGTGGCTAACTGGTCATGACTATATTTATGACCCGTAGTTAGGTGTCCTGGTGGAAGCCAGGAGAGATAGAGAACCGATGTGGCTAGGTCTTCGTGGACAGGGATTGTAGTTAGGTGAATGATGATGTCGGGGTTTGATGCCGTGGAGTCATGGTTCTTTAAAGACCCAAGACTGTATAAAGAAACAGACGCCACGCTTGTGGCGATTGCAATCAAAGTTGGATCGCGGGGTGAAAAGTGCAGATCAAAAACTGCATGGGGGAGGGATATTTTGTGGATTTCAGTCCTGTTATTATCGTTACCAAGAATTTCCTAATTAACAATTTGTGTGAAACGAGTTCAGGTCTTAAAGGAACAAATTATGATAACTTTGTACATATATAAAATCTTACAGTTGGGGAGATTCGGGATCGAGTTTGAAAAGTTGTATGCTCCCTGTTTTTGTTTGCTGGGGATTTGCGAGACCATTCGATGGTGTTTCCGATAGGAGGTATGTCCCAATAACAAGATAATCAGGGGCTGCAGGACAGAATTCTAGACAGCTGGGAGGCTGGTCAAGGAAAGTTGTATGTTGTGACGGTATAGCCGTCATCATAAACGATGCAACGGTTGTGAAGGGGGGCAAATTCACGCAATATCAATGGATATGCGAATATAAGAAAATTTGCTATTAACATGAAGTTATATCCTTAGGGTACTTGGTTTGAACAGAAAAGTATTGAAATTGAATATGGGATTTCTGCTATGATAAATTGTTCATTGATAAATTGTTAACTTTTTGATGTTAAATTTAACTGTTCTAAGTGCGTGCTACTTCCCTAGGAACTACTTCATAGCACTTGTCAAGAGAAGCTTACTTATTTAACATTGAACACCTAGCTAACTAACTAGAGAGTTAACATTATCCATCCACCACTTATATCAAGGAGATTGATAAATACACTGCTACCTGACTATGTGCACTTCTCAAAAATACACCATTCTAAATAAAACATAGTGTATACATGTTACGGCGCAGCTGCTTGTATATGGATTAAGGTTGATCCATTCCGACCTCAACCATATTTGGTTGCTCATGTTGATCCGATCTCATCCCCAACCACTTCGCTCCAAAGGTTGATCCGATCCGATCCCCAACCACCACTATATATTCGGCTGCTCGTTCATTCCACATTCTAACCCCCAGTTTAATATTCTCGTCGCAGCTGCCTAGTTAGATAGATGAATTGAAGCTGTTGTCTTCTTATCATCCTGACTCTAGTTGAGCCAGGACAATACACAGCTGTATACTCAAAATAACAGGTGTTCAATGTAGTTGTTATGTGCTCAATCTTTCAATTGTTCAACTCAAATTTTGTTTACTTGGAGCTTGTCTGCTCAGCAGTTGCGCTGCAGAGTTATTTAATCTTTTAAAATTTTCAAACTCTTATAGAAGAAATTTTGATTAAATAAAGAAAATTATCATTCAAATAATATAAAATATTTAATTTTATTTTAATTTATAAGAAAAATATATTTATAAGTTCTTTTATTTTTATAATAATATTTATAAAAATTATAATTAAGCTATTATAGTTGATTTTATAATTAATTTTTAATTGAACTCTCATATATAAAAGTCTGTTATCTCAACATAAATTTTTATCTCAATGTGAAATTTTTTTTATCTGAGATATTAAATTAATTTATCAATGAATATAGCAAAATTCATTAAATATAATTTGATTATAGAGTAGATAATTTTATTTATGACTTTTTTTAATAAATTTGATGATTTTAATATTAATACTTTTATATTTATAATATTATTAAAGTTTTATTATAACTTTTTTTTATTTCAAATATATTTTTTTTAATATCTTCTGATTATCAAACTTTTGATAAATAATTATTATCTTGTATATATTAAATGTAAATATAATCTCTCTTTTATATACTACTTTTCAAAATACTTGCTAATAGTATTTATAAATTATAGTAACTGCAGTAGTTTTTGAGATCTCATTCTGCAAAAAAGTCACTATATTAATTATTATAATACTACTTTTGTAGAGCTTTTCTAGCTTAATTTAAATATATTTAAAGTTTTCAATATTTTTTATAGTTTTTAATTTATACTTATATCAGTTGAATTAATATACAATCAAAGAAGTATATTAGATCAAGAAGTCTATAAAATTAGATATTAATAAACTTATAGAAGTTGTCTCAAACTCATATAATTTATTAAAAATAATAAATAAATTAAATAAAATTATATCTATTACTTTTTATTCTCTTTGAATTATATAAATTTTGAATATCATCTTTTATATAGAAATGATAATATGAAGAAATTCAACTTTTATAAACTTTTTATAATTATATCTTATTGCTTTTTCAACTATAAATAAATAATAATACTTGAATATATAAAAATTCTTTATATTTAAAGACTGTAATAGATAATTTATATATAAAATAAAATAGAAGAAAATAATATTATTCTTATTATAATAATTTATAAACTTATATATATAGTAAAAGTTAAAAGTTATTCAATAAAAGCAAATGATAAGATTGTTTAATATAATTTTTTATAAAGTAATAAAAGTATTGAATTCACTAAAAAAAGATTTAATTATTATTATAGTCAGTATCTAACATATTTATTATAATATTTTTCTTAATCTTATTAGTTTAAAACTTTTGTAACTGCTTTATAATAAGAATATAGAAAGAAAAAATAATGAAATTATCTGTTAAGACTACTTTAATGATTATAAAATTTTCTCTATTATTTAAACTTTCAATATAAGTCTGTTTTTAAGAATCTTATATTATTATTTATTAATCTTATCTGATTTTTACTCTGAATCTTACTTTATCAATGTTATAGATATTACTGAGTTCAATATCAAACTTATATATTGTCTTTTTAAATAATTAAATCAATTAAGTATGAATAATAACTCATGAGCTTATTTTCTTACTATATCAATAGTTTTCTATTATCATATATTATATTTAAAATAATATTTAATAAATTATTTAATTTAATATTTTTTAATCTCAGATAAAATATTAATAAAATTTTTATAACTCTCTATAAGAATAAATTAAGCAATATTAAATATTATTAATTGATAAAGAGATAGTGTGATAATATAGAATAAATAAACTCTGTCTAGCCTTTTTAATAGTATAAGATCATGGGTTAAAATAATCAATAATCACAACTGTTTAAATATAAGTATAGTAATCAATTCTATAATTACCTTGTATATAAATAATATATAAATATAAGAAATAGTACAAAAAAAAAGTTATACAAATAAAAAATTTTTTAAACTCATTTTTTAGAAATTATCTTAGTATTTTATTTAAATAACTTATTTAACTAATAATTAAACATCTATTTTACCTGTATTTAAATTGAAGTTTTGATATAATACTAAGATTAATAACTTTTCTTGCTCTTTTTAAAGTAGATTTTTTAAATAAAAAATCTTTAAGAATTCTTGTTTTTTATTTATCTTTATTATAAATCTTTAAGAATACTACTAAGATGTCAGTAGCAGTTAAAAAATCTGATAGTCTGTAAAGATCAAATTAACATATAATAACTCTGATGATAAGAAATATAAGATTAAAAGAGCTTTAATCAAAGAAAATATTTTTAAAGATAATTAAAAAGAACTTAGAGCAGATATATTAAGAGATTATTGATCTTATAAATAAAGCAAAAAAAACTTTAGATTAAATTAAAACAGAATAAGATAATTAAAGAAAGTAAATAAGTGAACTTGATCAGCAAGTAAATAGTTTGATAGAGAAATAAAACATTTTACAGCAGGCAGTAAATTCTTTAATCTTATAAATCAGACTAATGAATATTCAATAGATATAATAATCAATTAAGCTTTATGATATGAAATATCTCATCAATGAGAAAGAACTAATATTCAAAAACTGACTCTTATGAATGAGATGAAAAGCTAACTGTTAATTCTTACCACTTTTCAATTGAAGAAAACTGAATTACATATATAGAAAACTAAATAAATATTAAAACAGTAATATATCTAACTTCTAAAATAATAGAAGATCATTTTAAGAAGTTTAAAATTGCTAAAAAGGTTTTTAAATATCTGCAAGATATATATGCGAATGTCAATAAGCTTGAGAATATAAATATGAAATACTAACAGCTGATAATAAGAAATGATAATAACTATTATATCTTTATGATCAAGTTCTTACATCTGACTAATAAAGTTCAAATTCAAATAAAAGATTATAAAATAGATTTTCTTTATAAACTATTTTTTAATCTTCAATATATGATTGTAGCAGTATGCATCAGTTATAGTATTTTTCATAAAATTTTAAAAATTTATATTTGAATCACTTACTATCTCAAAAGTATATTTAATTAAAACAGCTAATAACTGCTTAAATGTGAAAAAACTCTGATAACTCAAATCAATTGTAAAGATATCTCTATAATATATAGCAATTATAAATTAATTTCATTCACACTGATGCAAACAACTGAGAATAGACTAATAAATGAGAATTAAAAAAAAAATATAAAATACTTTAATTATTGAAGTAAAAATCATATAATATGGAATTACTTATACAAGCAAGAGATTAAATTAAAGAAATTGAATAATAAGACTGCTGTTATCAAGTCAGAAAAAGATTAAGTTTGAAAGAAGTCTTCTTCTCAGATAAGATGATTACACTAAAGACTTTGAACATGAACAAGCTCATAAATAAAAATTATTCTATTATATATATTAAAATAGCTTTTAATGAATATATCATTTATACAAGATTACTAGTAACTTTTAAAGTAAATTGCTATATTATTATTAACTCAGATTTTGTACAAAAATATATTAAATTATTAGAGATAAGCTCTAAAGATCTAAAAAATAAATTTCAAATCATGAGCTTCAATAATTAAAGAGAAACTATAATCACAAAAGTTATTTTTTTATATCTGTAAATAAATAAAAGAAGGTTTCTAAATATATCAATGCTGATAATAAATAAGAAAAGCACTGATATAATTCTATAATAAACTTAGCTAATAAAGTATAAGACATAACTAAATATGAAGAATTAACACTTAGTTTAATCAAGTGTGTGAACATTTGCAGATGAAATATCAAAAAATACAGTATAGTAATCTCAAAAAAAATTCTGAAGATATTAAAAATAAAGTTAGTATATTAACAGAATACAGATTATTATAATAGACTTATAAATAAAGAATTCAAATTTGAAGTTACTAAAAGAAATGAGATCAAAAAATTAAATAATTCATAAAAAAAGTCAATCTCTAGTATTGAAAAAATAATGCTTATTAGAAATATTGCCTTCTATCACTATAAAAATAGGGAAAAAGTAAAGATATTCATTTCAAGCTTCTGTGAGATAGATCAAATTATTAAAAAAAAAAAAAGTTATTATTAATATAGAACTAAATAATGAAGAGATAATTAATAAATAACTATTAGAAAATTATAAAAAATTTTATAATATCTTTTCAAAAGTTGTTTTTGATCAATTACTACTTTTTTAAAAAAAAATAAACTATAAAAT